AGAGAGAGAGAGAGAGAAATGGCCTCGATGAAAAATTATGTTCTGCGAAGCGTAACACGCGTAACCCGATGCGCTTCTCACTTCGAAGAGAGACCGAGTCCCTTCGTTCGGTTATATCCCTTACACTTATATCCCGGTCCTTCTCCCTCTTTTTAAATAGTGCAGCTTAAGCCCAGTGTCAGACTACACTTCGAAGATCGAGGGTTGGCGGCGGGCCGAGTCGGAGATTCAGAATTCAACCACTCGGAACAAAATGGATCGGGGCCTCGAATGCGAGTCTCTCCAATTTGAAATTCTGGAGCTTCGATCCGCGCGGTCCGATGCGGGCCCGACGATATTCGAGACGGAGAAAGTGCGAGGAGGCGCAATCAAAGGGAACGGACTTGTATTTCGACAGAGATCGGAAGAAGAGCGAGACGGTTTGCGATCGAGCGCTACGGGGGTGCGCACCACGCTGCGCTTTCAAGTAGCGATTGGATACACGATTGCATCCACTTGCATCTTCGCGGCCTCGCCCGGCTCGACCCGGCTCGGCTCGACGTGCGAGTTATACTGCTATCGATATCAGATTACCGGTTAATTGCCGGCGGCGCGGCGCGCTCGGCCCCGAGGATTGTTGCGCTCGAACAGTAATATTTCACGCTTCAGGAGGGCGACTCGCTACCGCCTTCGGAACGACCTGACGCCTAATTACGCGGCGTGACTTCAACAGGGCCCGGCGAGAGCAGCGGGAATTTTACGTCTGTTAATAAAATTCGCCTCGACACATGTCGCAATCATATATCGAATCGGAGCGTGTAATTTTACATCGCATAATTTTCGCATTTCGATGTTCGTATACATCCTACGTAATAAAATTATTCCCGTTGCACTAGAAAGAGGTGCGCGAGCAGCCTTTGAAATATCCGACGCTCCACGTTTTCCTCTCCTGTTAGACGTAACTCGAATGGAAGCAAAAAAAGAAAAAAGAATTTGTAACGCCGCGCTCGGACGGTGAATAAGGTCCAACAAAAGGCGCACTGTTCGCGGGAGAACAAAGCCCGTGGTAATTCTTTCGGAGCTGCGACAGCTGCCGGGTCATTGCGGCCAAAGAGGCGCGAAACGCATCGGGATCAGATCGTCGACGGGCGACGGCGACGACGATGACGACGGCGTTATCCGGTTACAAGCCGCTGCCCGCGCGCGTAACCTGTTGCGTGTATCGCCCGCGCGCGGAATCGCGCGATCCAGATTGAAGCGCGACCGAAGCGCGTCCCTCTTCTCGCGCTTAAAGGCGTCAGTCATTATATTTTTAGAGATGATCTTCGGCACTTTTATGGAAGGACGTCCATACGCGCCGTCCATACGATCCCGTTCCGAGGCGCGGCGAAACAGCGCGCGCCGCAACAAGCTCCGAAACTCTTCCTCAAAGTCGTCCCTGATCTCTCGAGCGATTATCGAGCAAGATCGATAGATCGAACGTACGGAAAAGACCAATTTCCGTCGCGGAATTTTCCGTCTCGGAATTGGTTCATATTACGCATTAAATACGCGTTGCGATCCAGTTGAAATTCCACAGTCGCCCACAGTTCCCGCGTTCTTGCCTCCTCGGCATGAAACGCTAATATCGCTTGCGGTTAGCGTTGTCGCGTGAGAACGCGTGTACAGGATAATAAACAGCCTCGGCGATTGACAGTAAATCACTTAACATCGCTATTAAGCGTGCGGAGTACGCACTGTGAAAACTGTTAATACGCCGCCCGGCTATTTTCTCTAAAGTAAACGACGGCTCCTTAACATCGGTACACGGGCTTCGTCGTTGATCGTCGGTATGACGCAGAAATTATTCTAGTCTAGCGTGTACTTATAACGATTTGCAGATGCTGGGCAAGAGACGCAATAAAAGTCGCTTATGCACGCGCGCACGCTGGAAGCGTGAAAGCGCCCGTAAAGACGATGCTGCCTTCAATGGCAGCATCTTATCGCGCAATTTCTTGCAATTAGCCTAGAAATGAGAGCCTCGCCTATCGTTCCATCGGCGATCGGCCGGAAATCGATTCGATCCGGTGACCGCATCGAGAGTGACTGCGTATGAGATAATCGGAAGCGAGTCGTCGAGCGGGAAGGGGAGGAGAAGGGGTGGGGGGGGGGGAGGAGAGAAAAATTGATAACTCGCGCGGCCGTGATCTATCGTCGGTTTCGCGGAAAAATCGCAGCGTCCGCGAAAAAACGACTCGCTGCCCGCCGGACAATCGATGACTGTGGCTTTCATTAACGCTTAATTATGAATTATTATAGATCGCCGGGACGGGACGGGATGCGGCCGCGCGGCAGGCTCGGCGGGCCCGAGAGGCGGCCGATGAATATGCATCGGTCCATTCCGCGAGGCGGAATGGAATATAACGGCTAGAGTTGACTAACGAACGATCGCTAATTGCGGAGGATAATTACTGCGCGGCCCGTCTCGTTGTTAACTGCCCGCGCGCGGGCAATTCCGACGAGCTCGGGAGGATAAGCTCGTGCGCAAATTCGCGGCGGGTAAATGATAGTGCGTGATGCGGCATCATCGCGGAGATTTCACGACCGTAAACGGATCTAAAAGGAATCGCGCGGGGACGCGCGTGTACGTGTGCGTGTCGTTTCGCGCGCTATTTCCAGAGAGGAGACGTCGAAAAACTCCG